CTAAAGCCGAAGGGTCTGTCCTAGGTTTCTGCCTCTTAAAAAGGCAGTTTTTTCTAGCCGCCATCACCAAGGTCTTGCTCATGGTGGTACTGTTGGGTCTATGTAAATAAAGAGTTCGGTCTAGACCTGCTCTTTTTGGAACAGAAAAACAAAAACAATGATTTTGTAGTTTTGGTATGACCACTTTTTGGGGCATTGTGGATCATGACTCATGTTTTGTGTGTGTCAAAATTCAAGCAAAGGCTTATGGCGGCCCAGCAAGTGGTGCTTTCATACAGTCAGCTGTAGAAAGGGTTCATGCTGATGCTTGAGTGGAGAACTGTTAATCATGGGCTGTGCATGTACTCGAAATGACGGCTGTTCCAAGAAGCCATTGTGCCATGCCGTCACAGCTAACTGAGGGCTAGAAATTCAATGCTAAGCAAAATCAATTTATACAACGAGCTGGGTGAACCCTTCCTCCATAGTTTGAAGAACCAACTGTAGGAAGTCCACTAAAATGATGTTGGCCATGAGGTGAAAAAATAAAACGTGATGCATTTATGGTGAAGAGGGCACTTTACTATGTTTTCTCTACTAGAAGGGCACCTTAGAGGGCACTTTATGGTGTTTTGTCCACTGGAAGGACAACCTAGAGAGCACTTGTACAAGTAATGCTTCATAGCATTTTCTTCACTTCTCTTTATTATGTTTTATCTACCATAGGGGCATCCAAGAGGGCACCTTTTCAGCATTTTTTTTTAAAATGGGACCATGGTGACACAATTGTAATTGCTGTGACATGATTTAATGCTGGATTAGTGAAGAATAACTATAAATAACACATTTTGTTTCCTAGTTTGTACATTTAGAAACCAGTCAGACTCTATATAGACTCTCTAAAAAGCGTCATTCAGTGTTCCTGTTTATGCAGAGGCTTTACTAATGATGTCATAAATGGTTTATTTTAGTCCTCTGTTCTGAGGCTGTGCTGCGTTCTGCAGTCATTTTAGGTCCTGGGTTTTTGAGTATATTTTCAGGTTAGCAAGCATGGATATATATTTCTGCACTTTTCATATTTTAGTTGTTAAACTTATATATATCTATTATCTCATCACATTAATATAACTTATGCAGCTTAAGGAGTGCACGTGTAACTGAGAACTGCTGATGAATCTGATCTTTCTCCACACATTGTGACTTTACTGAAAGAGAAGTGACTTTACCAGCTTGCTTCTGCATCTATACTTAGTGTTACCATGGCAACACCTCCCGTCTGTCACTAGCACATGCCTGGAACGACAGACCATAATAATCTGCAAACCCACTCACAGCCAACGCATTGCCACCATGGTAACGATATGAAGGCTTCACTGTAGCCTATCAAGTTCTTACAGGGAATATACACTGCTTCAATCTACTCTAGCGTGTGTGAGTGTGTGTATATGAGTGTGTCTATATGTGCATAGAAATGTATGTGTGTTGAATGTATGGATGTAACTTAACACAAATGATTTTTGTTGAATGAGTTTCGTATATATTTCCAAATAAATGTTTCTTACATAAGGCAATATAGCAGTAAACAACAATTTGTGTGCATAGTATTGTTAATAAAAAACATTATGAAAGCCTATTCCTGTCATTAAGAAGAAAAGATGATGAAAGTCACAAATGCTAAAAATAAATACTCACGGTCAGTCCAGTTGTTGTCAAAATTTGGAATTTCTAGGTCAGCGTCCTTCATCAAAATTGTGATTCTAAGTCATGTAAATTAAAATAAAAGAAAAATAAAAGAATCTTATACTTTGGACTTCAATTTTTTTAACTGGTTATGAAACAGTCTCAGTTGAATATGACCACATGAGCAAACAAGACCAACAGAGAGAAGATTGCCTATTCCATATAGTTATTCTTAATGCCTGCCACCAGGTCAGATTCCCCATAAAATCAATTAAACAAGGCGGTAGAAATACTTATGCTTTTATCCACAGAGGCTGCTAGAATTAACACAAAATGAAAGTACCTTGTAGGAGCTTTAAATAGTCACAATTTAATCATTTCAATGTTAAAATGTTATGTTAGTACCCCCGAATTTTAGTCTCCAGACTAACTTTTTCCATTAGTAGCACTGGTGATCCCTACTGAACATTTTAGGAGCTCCACATAAATCGACGTGCAACACATTTATATTTTTTCCATCTTAATTGTGTTAATAACAAATGCTTTGGTAATAAATAGAAAAAATCAGAGTTAAATAGTTCTCTTTTTAAACATAAATGGACCTGTACTTGTATAG